AATACAGAAAGCTGCTAACAAAGGGCTCAAGGTTGAATAAATTCAAGCATGAATGGCAGTGAGTCAGTCACATGCAAACATACAATCACAGATTTTCTTATGGTTGTATGTATATAATGTGCACATTTAAGTACATAAACATATATACAACATGTTCATCTGTCTTTAATCGAAGTCATTACGGTTTGCGTCTATGTATGTTCAGAAAAGGCAACCTACACACGCACACACGCTAAAGCCAAATGACCTGAGCTTTATCGGAGCTCCGTTGGCAATACTTGTTGTATACGGTAAACAACTTTAATGACTTTATTCGGCAGCATACAAGCTAATTTACTTACACACACGTAAGTACATAGTAGTATGCATGAATGGACTTATAGGTATGTAAAAACACCTCATTGTTCACAATAGTAAACTTCTAGTTAACTTCCTTCTGACGCTTCCTCATAACAACCGTTGTTTCCAGTGCAATTATTGTTTGGTTTTGCTAGTTGTTGGGTGTTTCTTCGTTGCTCTTTGTTTGCTCAATTTACGCAAAGTTCTGAGTAAAATTAGTAACAAATGTTTGTGTTATATATGTGTGTGCACGTTAATAGGCTTAACCATGTATTTTTGAAATAAGGACGTTCTTAAGATGATGTTTCGAGACCTTATTAAGGGTAAATCAAAACGGTGAACCAAAGGCGATAATATCAGTGAAGCGTTTTGGGTATATAGGTCAAGGTCAGAAATGAAAAAAATGGGGTAAAAGACCGGGTATCGGGTACTGGGTAGTTTGACCAATTCTTTTCTACAGTGTCACCATTTGGTGGTCAGCGTTCGATTAAATTACTTTCAGAAGCAAACTAGAAAGGGTTCAACGATCGTCTGTTATTTTGGTATTAGGAGCACTTCCATCAACTTTCTCGAAAGCCGAAAGCGGGCTGCAATGCAATCAGACTGAATGTGGCTCAACCTGGGAAGAATTACATTATACGAAACACCAAAATATTATCTCTTGCAGAAGTGCCGAAGGCGCTGAACTACAGCACCTCCTGTATGGGCTTCAAAAATCTTTTCTCCACTAGAATCCTAAACAGGGGCAAGCGGGATTTACCAACGCCCCCAATCAGGAAGACATAGCCAACTTCACAGATAGCTCAAAGCTTGATGGGAAAGTAGGCGATGGAATTAATTCTCCAATGCTCTCATTGATTGAATCGGCCAGACCACTACAATGTTTTGCAGGTGGAACTCTTTTCAATCAAGGAGACCGCTGAGTGGTTGCATAATTCTACAGCAGCAGGACAATCGGCTAAAATATGCTCCGACTGTCATTCTACAATCACAACGAGAGAAGTGGCCCCAGAATGTGGAAATTTTCTCAACAAACTGTCCACTAAATCCATTGTCTGGGTAGCTGGACAAAGGAATATCCCAGGCAATTACATGGCGGACGAACTAGCAAGGGAAGGAACCTTTCTACCCACGATAAAACATGCACTCGATGCTGGATTACCTCTGCCTACGGCAAAGTACATGCTTGAACTGGCATTCACCAGAAAAGCTGACTCAAGATGGTTGAACGAGATTACGTGTACCGTGACCAAAGAGCTATGGCCGAAGCTGGACGTGAAAAAATTAGCATAACGACGGACCGCATTTTTTGCCGCATCTGCAGTGACAAAAAAGAGGAGGATCCTTCGAGCACCACCCCCACCACAGAGATAGCCTCAGCGAATATCGGAAATCTCGTTGCCCTTATAAGACACACGAAATGGTTGGATCATCTGAAAAGGTGAAGGCTGGAGCCTCAGCGATATCAAAATGGGTCTATTGGCTTAAGTGTGCTGGTAGCAGCAGCCTCATCAACTCAACCTGTGAGCTTGTTGCTTAATAGTCTACTAATATTTAAATGAAAATCACAATCATTCCTGACTAAAAAATCACGAAAGTAATAAGTTCAGACCGCCGGATCGAGCTTTGTCGGAAAATTCTAGTGAAGCGCTTAAAAATTAAGTTTAAAAAGCAATTTCGAACATGAATGGCACGTCAAAAACAAAATTTTTTTTTAATTTATCTACACAGTAATAATAATAATGTCAACCCTAATCCGGAATCTGCTGCTGAATACAATACATTTGGTAACCATTAAGATCATATTACCCTTGCGTAGTAAATGTGCCATAAGTAAATACCTATTAGGCATGAAGACATTAGAGACTTAGTTTGGTCACAAGGTCACGGTTTGGCAAAGCTTTAAGTCCAATTCTGTAGCTAACAAGTTTATGTGAGGACAAAATTCTTGAAATAAAATAAATGAAATTCAAACAATATAAATAACTATTACCAGATGATTCATAGTATTCAATTTGACATTAATATTTATTTAAAAATCAAGGTTTAACTAAAAAAATAAAAATACGGATACTTTTCCTTTTACTGAAAAAAATATGTTTTTCATCAATTTTTACCCAACGCCAGCCAATTAATTTCAAATCCCTTAGCAGTTCCCGCATGCAATTTGTCCTTGGGACTCTTAAGGTTATTGATTTTTTATCATACAACTGCCGAAAAATGTCATCAAAAGTCTACTCTATACCCAGAGGTCTTTGATTTTTAGGTATGAGGTGGCATGATTGTGATGTCGATTTTGGAGAAAAAAATTACAAATAAACAATGGTAAATGAAAATTGTTTGTTCCTAAAAGTACTTCTCAGCACAAATTTTTTTTTTTCTTCAAAAACTTGATGCGAGGATTTAGATACTTTTATTTCGACAACAGAAAATCGCTGATCACGTGAATAAATCTGTATGTAAAATGTTTTAATGTTCATGTGTTTATCATAATCTTGGAAACCAAATGAAATGTTTAGATTAGTTTCGCGAAAGTTTGTAATAAAATTAACCTAATCATATTTTTTGTATATATATATAATTTACGAGGGTCGACTGATAAGGTCGCGACTTAAGTCGATGGAGACGACACTTCATCTCGGACGCATTATTACTATAAATAATACATTTTTTTATTCTGTTCGTTAACACTTTTTTCCACGCACAAACAACAACACTATGTCAAAAAAAAACTGAAAATTCATCCCGCTTTGAATAAATCCCAAAGAATTTAAAGATATGTTATCGGCTCGTCAAGACTCTAAACTTTCATATGCTGTGATAAAAAAATATGCGAAGCCTGTAAATATGATCCCCGCCCAAGGCGCCTAGCGACGGTCGTGACCGAAGAAAATGTTCAGAAAGTCAAAAATTAGTACTGGCAAATCGATGAATTAAATTGTGGCAGATAGCAGAAAGATTACAGTCTAGCAAAAATTAATTGGAGCCTTTTTGCATGAGAATTTGAATATGATAAAAATTATTGGGATTTACGAATGTCCACGCTGCTCGACAAGTAGCGACGTTTGGGGAGTTGTAAAGATTTTCTGGTATTGTGACGAAATGAATTAGATGAAATTTTCAGACGCATTGCATGATCCCGAGTCCAAATCAGGAATCGATGCTGTGGTTGAAAAAGGATATAGGCCACTAAATAAATTCAAATTGGAAAAGTTGGCGTCGAAGATTATAGCTATCAAAACGAAGAAGACTTTCAGACGCAGAAAACCAATTTGAAGATAAACTTAAAAAATATTTTTTCAGTGGTATAAATACATTGAAACCTGGTTCATATGAAACTTTTCACTTCATTCTTTTTTCACGGGAAGTGAGCTGAGCTGAAACCCGGAAAATCCTATTTGTATCTCTGACGGCCGGTGTGACCGAGTGTTTGGCACTGTTCGATCACCAGCAGGGAATGCCAATCCTTACGCTGATATTTCTAACATGGAATAAAGGTTTCTTATAAAAAAAACCAACAACCGTTCGGAGACCACAAAATGAAGGAGGAACAGTGAAAATCGTGGTTACAAGGCGCCAATTATATATTATTTAGAGAAAATCTTTGAAACGTCTGTCCAGTTTTCTAGTTATAAATAAAAATGTTACCGCAGAAATCGCAAATTACATTAATATTATTTTGTTGTAAAAAATATTTAAAGCTGATACGGCAAACTGGCAATAAAAATAATAATTTTTTATTTTACTGAATTTTTTTATAATTTAATTTATTTAAATTTCTTTAAATTAAGATTTTCCCTCCCACATATGAAATAAATTTTACGTTCCCCCATCACATCATTGACATTTGCATTCATTGAGATGCCATTAATTTCAACACATAAAAGGGATTTTTTTAATTATTTCGGCAATTAAATTGTAAATAAATAAAATTTTTAACTTTCGAAATAATTGCAAAAATCAACAAAAAGTGCAAGCCCGAAATATTCAATGAGGAAATTTTAAAAGTAAATCAGAAAAACAAAAAGAAGAATGAAATGAATTAAATAAAAACGCAAGCAACTGACCAGCTGGCAATCAATGCATGGTCGCTTGCATTCGCTTATAAGAGTTCACTTACACATGCATATATATATGCATACGTGTAAGGGTACACTTGTATGCATGCATTTATGTATGTATGAATGTACATCAAAGTAGGAACCTAAATAAACATAGGCTGTGCTATTTGAGTAAGAGGCCGACAGTGAGCCCCCGGGATTGCATTCGTCATTCGTGTTTAATATTAGCATCTGTATAGCCAACGCGAGCAACAACAATGCCCGAAAATTCCGCAGACAATTTTTGCATATAAACCTACTTAAAGTCATACATACACACATACAAACATAGATACATACATACATTTGTACATATATAAATGCGTACTTGCATATGCTCAATGTACTTGATAGCCTACTAAGTAAATACCAATTGTTCTGGCAATATAAAATAAACACAGGCAATTTTCAAGGAAAAACAAAACTGAAAAATTAAAGAAAAAGCAAGTACGAGTAAATGATTACAAAGCGTAAATGTGGCGGTTGCTATGACGTGGCGAACCGCATTTGCCACTGAAATCAACTAAAATTCGTAAAAATCTGATTTCGCATGAAACTTACCTCTCAATTGATTGTTCTTATGTGCGAGTATATGCACACGAGTATGTACATATGTGTTGCATATACTTACATATATGATTCTCCAAAAATTTTGCGCTGCTTTCTTATTTCGTCGTTTTTGCGCTTGCGGCAAATGCAGGCGATAAACAATGCGTGAAAAGCACGATTTTCCCCAAATACGTTTTTATAGTATGTAGCACAAGTTGTTTACACACACACACGTACACAGACACTGCTGTATGTATAATATTGTATGTACGTACGTTGTTACACCTCACCAATGGCTGATATGTTTATTGCTGTTTCTATTTGTATTGCAGTTACCTGTAAACAATTGTTGTTATATGTACATGTGAGCAGCGTGTTTTCATTTTCATCGATGAACACATCACGAATTTCTTATTTTTTTAATCATTATTTTTTTTTTAATTATGTATCTCGTATACGAGTATAGACAGTTGTTTAAAAAGAGTACTCGTACATACTAAATTTTATTACCTAAATAATTATTTTCGTTTTTATTGTTTTTCTAAGTAATTCCCTGAATACTTTTCTTTGTGAATACTCATTTTGCATTCGTGCGCTGGACTTGAAGGTTTCTTTAAAAAAAAAGACAAAAAACAATGAAATGAAATTTCCTAACAATAAATATTTTTCTAGCGAAATCGTTCTTCAAATCTCGAGTAAAAATGTCGATCTTACTGGCATCAATTCAATGCGGTTGGTGTTTGGAGGTCAAGGAAAGAATACCAAGAGGCATCTATGTTGTCTGGCGTCCATCACACAGGACTCCTTCGCTGTGCGGAATTTTTTTTCGCTCATAATATCACATTTACCCAAATCGCCAGAGTCGATCGTTGTGAAACCAATAGAAGGCATCAGGCCAGTTTAAAAGATGTGCTTAATTTAAGGGTTTCATTAGTGGCACCATGCCATAAAACACAGGCTTTTCGTTTAATCGATTATTGGTACCACAGTCACTAGCAACGATTTAAGCAATTAGTTTCGTCAAAAAATAAAACTTATATCAGTAAAAAACAAGATAACTAAAAATTGCAACATAAAACTCTTTTTGCAACTTGTTTTGGGTAGCAGCTTACATATATATAATTGGCGCTTTGTAACCGCTGAAACGATTTCTGGTTTTACATCTAGATGTTTTTACCAACAAATGGAGAAACTTACAGTTCATATTAAGCCGCTTACGAGTGGCTGGTGTTTTTTTTTATGACAAGCTTTTATTTCATGTCAGAAATACACTCGGAAGGGTTGACATTCCCTGCCTAGTGGCGACCGCAATTAGAAAACTTGACTTAATTTATTAGTTAAATTAATTTTCTATAACTTTTTGGACGTAATACGTCACCATAATTTGAATCCTCGTCTGCCTCACGCAATGCTAACCACTCGACTAGCGTTCCCGCCATAAAAGCTTAAAATCAGAAATTGAATATTATAAAGCAACAAAGCAGCAATATGTTACTGTGGCAAAAAACCTAAAATAAATTGATAGCTACGGTTATGGCTTAAGCCACTGGTATGGCACTAGTTATAAGGAACAATGTTACCCATGAAGTTATGATATCATCTGGATATGACACCGCTAAGTCTAGCTCAAACAATATCACAGTCCACTTTCAGCTATTATACGATTTGTAAAAATTAAATACCATTTATATAGGGAAAAGTACCCATTTTCTCTCTCACTCAATAAAAAAGTGATTTAAGTGAAACAAATGAAATGGGGCAGATGTGAGAAAAAAGCCGATACAACAGGATTATACAAAAATCAACCCTTGAAAAGTAATTAGCGAAAGTTCAGCTGCCCTTGACGGGTTTTTGTGACGGATACTAAGGGAGGGACGACCATTATCGCAAAGTTTCTGTCAGTATTGAGCTTATGTTAGGTTAAAGTAGTTCATTCATTGGAGGTTCTCAAATGGGCTAATACACATCCAAAATTCTTTACTACTTCATCTGCTGTTTTGTCTTCTGTTTGAAAAGTATTACTTTTAGTTTAGAAAAAGGGAGTAGGTGTTTGTCCTTTTGTTCATAGTTGACTGAGTATACGAAAACATCCCCTCACACTTCTTATCACACCTAGTGATAAATCTCTGTATACAGAACGTAAGCAACTCACAGTTTACTTTCTCCACAGAGTTCGCTCATTTCCCAAATACAACAAACAGAGCTAATTTTAAGACTTTGCCGTTAATGGGTCTTTTAGCAGCCTGTAGTTTGTGCAATTTGTTGCCAGTAAGAACTTAGTTAAGTTAATTTTTTTACATAATCTTCTCTATTATATAAGCATCACTTATTTCGTTTATAAAATCTATTAGTTAGACGATACAATGGTATTCATGTTTCACTACCCTGAGAGGGAAAACAACAGTCTTTAAACGCCTCTATCCTAAGCCAAAATTCATTGGCTAAATCATTGTTTTTGATACTCTTATGCCCTATTTTCAAATAAGAGTCGTAATTTTTTTCCTTCTTCGAACAGCCTTTTGATTACCTCATTACTCTGTGTAGCTTTGGTAGCCACGTGGTTGTCTACAAACCGCAAGGTATTTTTTAATTGAATAAACTGCTTATATCTTATATAAGTTTTATTAGAATTGAAATAATCTGATTACGTCGACGATATTTCTTCCCTCTTTCTATAAAAAATTTCCCACTATTTATTTATTTTATATTCATTTTAATTAGCACAAACTATTAATGCATTTTACCAACAGTTTTAATCACCATTAGGAATAGTATTTGAAAAAGCTGGAGCAATTATCTATCTAAAAAAAAAAAATATTTTGAAGAAAAAAAATTTTTATTTGCTTTTTTTGTGCAATTTCAAATAAACTAAAACTAATTTCATTATTTGTATAAGAGGAAAAACACAAAACAAAAAATCTCAATAAAAGAATACTCGAATAAAATATTTATTTTTCTATTTAATTCATTTCTTTCTTTAACTTATGCTCCTTATATGCGTATGTATGTTTGTTTATTCACCAATAGACCAACAAGTGTTAAAAAAGAAAATAAATAAATTAAATATCATCATTCGGATATCACACTTCACGCCATTCATATTTTATTATTATCATCACTGAAATATATACATTTTTACATACATAATTGAAACTCGCAAGTAATTCTGATATAAAATAATTGAATATTTGATTGAAATTATAATTGTTTGTTTGTTATTGTTTTTCTTTTGAAAATTACACGTGATTAATACAAATTGGCTCCGCCACGAAATTTCACTGTGCGACGCACACCATTTATAAGCGCAAACAAATTGGCAACTAAACGAGAACTGAAAGCGGACGGGTACTCGTATTGGATTGCCATTTCAGCGGCGTGGCCCACGTTAGATCTTTGCATACGCAGCATGTGCAATTTGGTTTCGCAGTGGCGAACTCACCGGTAGTCTGTTGTACCGACCGAAAGTAAAAATACTTTCGTACACATTGATAGTGATGAGTGAGTAAAAGCATACTGCACGCGGAAGATCAGACAGAAGAACCACTGGTTTATTTGACTAACACAGAAATTTATACGAGGTGTGACAATTAAGTAATGAAACTGATTTCATAAAAACTGCATACTTTCAAATTATTCTACAACTTTGTCATCCCCTTCATAGTAGTCCTCTTGGACAGGACACTGATTCTAGCGAGTTTTCCATGCTTCGACTGGGATGTCCGCGAGTACTTTCTTCACCGTCGCCTGTTTGTCCTCAACCGACTCAAAATGGGTTCCTTAGACCACCGATTTTTTTCAAGGAAACAAAAGAAAGCCACAGTGTGACATATCGGGCAAATAAGGCGGTTGTTGCAACACGGCGATCCCTTTAGAGGCCAAATACTGGGACATGCTGAGGGTGGTGCGGCTTTTGGATCCATCTACGAGCGATATCTGGGCGCACCCTGTTGACTCGTTTTCGAAATCTTTCGAGTACTTGGCGATGGTAGGCTTGATTTATGATTTGCCCCGGTGGAAGAATTTTTTCGTGTACATTTCCACGGTTTTCAAAAAAGACAATAATCATCGTTTTTCCATTTTCGTGACGAGCATGACGAGCACACGTTTACTCAACTTGACCCAGCATGCGAACTAAACAGGCTAGAGCGATGGCAAACATATCAGGGGAGAGGAGAAGGATGTCAGGAGAAGGGAAAGGCAATTTCAAGGGAGCAGGATTACCACAATCGCGGTGATATAATCAGTTTCATTACTTAATTGTCACACCTCGTATGCCTAGTTTAGAGGTTCGTATGAAATGATGCGAGCGCGCCATACAAGACTCTAATAAGAGGCTCTATATCGTGATTCCATAATATGTATGTATGTTAACGATCATTTCTATCTTTCTATAATGTTTCATGAAATGTTATCTATTAAACTAGCTGTCACTTAGATAGAAAACTTTAAGATTATGATTACGTCATCACATGACCTTACGAAAGAACAGGCGCTAATTGTAAAGATTTTAGGATAGACAGATAGACAGATAGATAGATATATAGATAGTATCTAGATAGACTCGACAAATCTCTAACTGAACGACGATTATTTTAAATTATCAGCGCCATCGACAAAAGTTTGACAATATATTAAGGTTAAGGTCAAATAAAATATATTGCAAAATAACCTAAGTATTATAAAGACAAATATTAATTAATGGACAGAAGTTTGCTTCGAAAAGTGATAGAGTTTCGGCATCTATGCTAACGAAATATCTATGAGGCAGTCATCCATAAGCCGTTGTACTCGTATCGCAGCTGACACAATCATTCGTTTAATTTTATTTTAATTTCTGACTACCAAAATAGAGCGGCAAAGCAAATTTTGGTCTCGTCATCGTAACCATTTATTGGAGGCCTCAGAAGTCATGAAGAAGCAAGTGTCAACTACCATCGAAGATGGTAGAATTAAATTTTTGTCTTAATTGTTATTGTAGTGACACGAATACATATCTACATGTGATCCTTATCTAGAAAATATTTCGATAAATGCTAAGTACCCAGGAACGCAGCATGATTTTTTTATTGCAGCTCTTCTACAGGGTGAAGTTCAGTGCCAATTTGTTGATGGAAACCATAACATGCTTTGGACTTGGTAAACTTTGACATCAATTAAAACTCATTTAATACAAATAATTGTTTCACGAATTTGCTTTGCTTTTGTCATATTCTTTGTGCTTTTAACATATTTTGACTCCTTGTTTAGTAGTAAAGCCACGTTTAGTTCATTTTAATAAAGAAAAATTGCCAGTTGTCGATTACCGTTAAAAATGAATTAACGAATCATATAATCGTTAGAGCAAGCGACGAAGCTTGGCAGTTAGTGTATGGAAAAAAAATATCGAAAATACTGAATTTTACAACTGAAAACACGTGGAAATGAAAAACTAAAACAGGACATAAATAAGTAACAAAATATGATAAATGAAGCTAAATGCAAAGCAAAATAAATTAGTTGATATAATTTTGAAGTAAAACATAACAAAATTTATTTAAACCAAAATAATCGAAATAAAATTAAATTAAATAAAATAAAACAAACTAAAATAAAATTAAAAATTTTAACACAAAATAAAATTAAATATAATAAATTAAAATAATAAAAAACAAGATGAAAAAAATAAAATAAATTAAAAATAAAATTAAAATATAATAAATCAAAATAAAATAAAATAAAATAAATAAAATAAAAAAAAATTAAAATAAAAAAAAAACAAAATTAAATAAAATTAAATAAAACAAAATAAAAAGAAATTAATGTAAATAAAGACAAACTAGATTAAATAAATAAGATAATTATAAATAAATTAATTAAAATATAACAAAATAAGACAATATTAATTAAATAAATTAATTAGTAAAATTAATAAAATTAAATTAAAATAAAATAAAATAAATTAATATAAAGTACAACAAAATAACCAAAACGTAATAAACAAAATAAAATGGAAAAAATAATTCAAATAATTAAAATAACTAAAAAAAAAGTTGAATTACATTATATTAAGTTAAATTAAATTGAATAAAATTAAAACAAATACAAAAGTAAATGAAACAAAATAAAATAAAATGAAAACAAAGTAAAATTAAAATTAATAAATTGAACTATTAAGGTAAATTAAATAAAAATAAAATTAGCAATCAAAATTACCAAATGTCGAATGCAAGCACAAATGGTGTCCAAGCAAGGATTGATGGCCAGAAATGTTTTTTTGTGTATTTGATGGGATTCGCAAGGAATCATCCTCAACGTGTTGCCCCACCTCGATCAAACCCGGCTTGGGCAACAGCAGGAGAATTGTGCACACCAATAGGAGAATGTCACACATATCGATAGTGAATCAAACGCCTGAAGCTCCAAAAGTTTGGTTGAAGGGTTCTTATGCATCAAGCTTATAGTCCGGACCTCGCATCCAGTGCCTGCCAGCTGTTTCAGTCAATGGTGAATGATTTGGCTGGAGAAACATCGGACTCAAGAGAAGTCTGTGAAAATCCATTGTCTCAACTTTTTGTAAATAGGGCCAAGAGATGCACAACGATATTACTTTTAAATGGTATAATATTATCGATTGCCTAATCGGTTTTTTTAATTACCTTCTGACATGATGTAATTTCAAATGAAATGAACAAATTTAAAATTAAATAAAATGGAATAGAAGTTTTTAAGGTTAAATATAAAAAATGCAAGTTAAACCAAATTAAATTGAATAAATCAAAATTGAAAAATATGATGAAAATAAAAAATCAAATAAAAAGATAGAACAATTTAAATTTAATAAAATTGTAAAAAATCAATAAACTAAAATGGAGAAGAAAAATATTCTGAAAATTAAATTAGAATGTTTTTTTTTTTTTTGTTTTTAAGTAGAGCAGTTAAATTTGTATGTACATATATTTAGTTTAGCATGTTTTCATAATATAAACAAACATATTTACTTAAGTTCATATTCCAATATAAATTTGCGAGCTTTTAAAAAGGCAATGCATTAACCGTGTATGTTACGTGTGTTTCTATTTGTTTGTTTCATATAAACATTATTTTGTAATTATAACAAATAAAATTTAATTACTAGCAATTTCAAATACAGTCCGAATAGACTCAATAAACAAATTTATTGTTATTAGCCTCCAGATTTTGAGTACACAAAATTTAAGTTTTTCACTCAATAACATGTATGTACGTGTATGTATGATTAATGCACCTTGGAGTTAGTCATGACTCATTAATATATTTATTTTTTTTTTTTTTTCTAAATGGCCAAGTACTTAAAATTTTTTGTACTTTTAGAAAATTCAACGAAATATTTGAAACTAAACACCTTTGAAAGAGTAACAATTGAATTTATATTTTAAAACTAATTAAGACATTTTTTTGGACTTCTTGAAGCTAACATCTAATCCGCGTGACGTGAAGATCCTATAAAAAAAGCCTAAAATACAAAGAAAATAAAAAATTTTATTGTTCAGATATGTGAGTTTAATACAATATTTTTGCCCACATATATATATTTACATATATATATAAGAATATTTGGCACTTCATAACCGATGGCACAAGGAGCCTTTACTTGATGTCAGAAATACTCTCGGAGGGGCTGACATGCAATTAGAAAATTTTGCTTAATTTTTTATTTAAATCAATTTTCAATATTTTTTTTGAATGTCGGTTGTGCCGCGATATGAACCCGAGCATTCCAAATGTCAGCACGCAATGCTAACCACTCTGCTACCGCGGCCGCCACTCGTAACATGTTTTTAAATTATTCTTCTAAAACTTAACATCAATGGAATATCCTGTGCACACAGTCAACTTATTAGTTAATTGTGAGCGTTTCAATCGGCAGAAAATTGCGATTTTATTGATGCCATAATCCAAAGTGTAGTTTTCGATAATAAGACAACTCTTTCGTGACACAAAAACTGTGATTTAAGAAAAAGAAATTTTTTATAAAATTATTTAAAATTGTCAAGCCCGTGAACTTATTGAAAAAATGCAAGCAATAAACTCCTCAATCACGTAAATTTAAGACCTTTTTATTCTACTAATTGTCCAGCTTGAAGATTGAACTTGCTTGCTAAACGACCAAAATAGTTTCTGTAGGGGGAAAAAACTGTACTTTAATTTCTTTTTAAATTTATTAAAGTTTTTCACAGCTATACATTTTATTATTTTATATATAACAAGAAGAATCTATCTTTCTTTGCAACTGTTAAGCCATATTTGTAAGCTCTGCCCAAGCGAAAAAGTACATATGTACAAACATATATAGGAAAACCAAATTAAATTAGTCCAAGTA